TATGTGAAAATCAACATCTGTGTTGCAATCAACGTGGTTAATAACTGATTTCCTTATTCAGAGGAACTCACGACTTTCATCGAGGTTGCGACCAGTTATCAGTTCTATAAAGTCCGTATGCTTGCATGGTATTTGATTGAAATTAATTAATATTTTTACTGTGCTATCCTATCGTGATATACTGAGGTGCTTTTAACTTCAGTTAATCACCAGCCTGATGAGAAACAGCTTCAATGCTCTCCGAAACTTCGATTGCTGAATCAGCATTTTATCTTCTCCGGTGTCTTTCGAAGCATGGAATTGAATTATGATTTTCCATAAGAAATTGAAAGAACAAAATCTTTGTGCACAAGCTTTTATTGATAAATATAAACCGAGTCATTCAAGGTAGTATTGGTTGACTTTTTTTGCTTTCAAAGTCGAAAATAACAGTATGACGAAAAGAAACACAGCACTGAAAATGAACGTAGTTGTGAGCGAGGGGGTGTGTCTTTCTCGAAACGACGGTTAAAAATGCCGGGGTTCAGAAAATTGCATTTGCACATATAATCCATTGACTTCGTTGAAGCCATTTCAACATTAAATATAGAGAAAACAGCCTAGAATTCGCACTACAGTGGAAAATAATAATCAAATTGAAAACAGTGAGCAACACATAAACATATAGCATTAGTTTTACATACTATGATGTAAATTATTTGAAATATAATGCTAAATATCGGCACGGTTGAAGTGACTCTATCTATTACAATACAGTATTTACGTGGTGATATGAGGTACGTGCAGGTATCTTGTCCGAACCGACTATAGGCTTGTTGCCTTCGTGGGTGTCAACACTGACCAGATAGGCGTTTCGGTAGTATTCACAGGTACATGGACATCGTTGCATAGCTTCATCAATCGTCAAACAGTGCGTCCGAGTTAAATCGGTGCATCGCTTTTTAGATTGCAACTGCATCTCCATGAACGAAACTCGCTCCTCTTCGCTTGGACACAGCAACGGCTCTAATCCGAGGCATGCGGTCAGAGTCAAGCAGAGAATTACGGCTCTGGTCACACAGCGTGTCATCATGAAATCTACTGCCGTCTTTTCCCTCGATGGATTCACCGAACTTCCGTCTGTTGCAGTTCCCTTATAAATGTATTCGCAGAACATGTGCTGCGGAATGATGTTATCAGGTTAATGGGTCGTTCAAGTAGGCGATATGGTCCCGTTGTCCGTTTTACTTTCTAAGATGCGTTCCGCTTGTCCCGTCTATTACAAACGACAATGATCTAGCATTTGCTATGAAATAGGAACTTCCGGAGATGGAGAAAAAAAACAGATACATCAAGGTAGATTTCTGATTTTATTTAGGTATTTATAGTGATCTGGAAGAGCTGACACATCTGTTTTCATGAAATGACACTCCCCAGAAAAATCCAGTGTTGTTCTCACCCCCCCCGCCAATGTGCCATTTACTTTCATCCGTGTCTACCTGTTGACCCAATAAATAGATTCGTCCCCATTTGGACATTTAAGAGATAAGTCTAAACACGATTCACATGCTTTCCTCACAGTTAAGATCTAGCAAAGTAGTGCACGCAGACACGGACAAATTTACGTTCACATGTACTAAAAGATTACATTGCCATGTTTAACGTACCGGTTCCTTCAGACGGCACAGCAACCTAAATTTTAATATTTGACACTACGTTCATTGTACCTTAACGCAAGGTGCAACCGCTCCTTCATCTGAATCATTCTGTATTTGGATGATTAACGACATAACGCATTCTACCGCACCACCTCTACGATAACGAATAATGAATACCTAGCCGAATGATGAATGATTATTCCCTAGCCTCGATTTTTCTGTTCAGGTCTGAGGACAGAGTCTGCATTCCTGAATCGATATGTTTTAAGGGTATGAGCGAATATGACATCTTTATCCAATTCGACTGCTTCGTATTTCCACATGATTCTGTACTATGTACATACATACATACATACATACATACATGCATACATACATACATACATACATACATACATACATA